TATTGCCTATTTCTGATATTCAATTATTAATTGTTTGGAACTCTTTTTGTAGGTTTTGAATTGTTTCCAATGCTATATCTATCTCATTTGTTTGTTCCTGTAGCTCTTTTCTGAATTCTTATTTTTCTCAACTCCCCTGTAAAGTGATTTGATACATTTCATTATCATTTTTCTGAATTCCTTCTCAGGCATTTCCAAAGTCTGACCCCCTTACAATATGGAGTCTAGATCGACCTCCATCTCATTTGTCTCAGTCACTTTATCTTGTTTCTGAACATGTGCAGAGATGGTCATCTGTTTCTTGTACATATTCAGTAGTTAGCTATGACTTTAATTCATGGATGAATGTATGTTGATAATTTATTATGCTTTTTGATTGCCTCCAGGTAGATGTTATCCTGAGATGGACTTCCCTTTTCACTCTTCTTATTACTCAACAACTTACAAGTGTTGGTTGCCTGCCTGGTTATGGCAGCTGGTATTGGTTCTTGCCTGGATGATAAGATTTTATAGCTTGACTATATGACCGCAATTGCTGTCTCTTCTTGGGTAATGTAGGGAGAGAAGGAGCCCCCTAAATGTAAAGAGGGAACCAAAAAACAAAACAGCAACAGCAAAAAAGACAGTTTGGATACTATAGTCTATAATCACATAAAAGTAAGAGGGGTGGGATTTTTTTAGCCAAATATGAGTATGACTTTAATGTCCCTATTTCAACTTCTTGCATTCAAGGCCACCTGAGAAATTTCAAGATGCCTTTTTTGGTGGATATGATGTAACTCAGGATTTAATTTTCTGCCTGTTTGCTTTTTAGTTTGTCTCATTCCCACTCCACAACCCCTCTTCCAGCCTTTTTCCTAGTCATTAACAGTTCAGGACCAGCTGTGGTCTTTTTGCACTGCCATTTGGTTTTAAGTGGAAACTGTCCCTTAAGATTTTGAGCAGATCTGTGTGCATTTGTAGTAGAACCCTTTAGTGTGAGGGGCTGTCCACTGACTCAGGCACCCCTCTAGTCACCAAAATGGAGGTGTGCAGACAAAAAAGAATGTCCACACATTTATCTTTGAGGATCTGTCAGGCATCGTGGTGGCTTTGATCCTTCCCCTGCTCTGTCTTGCCCAAGATGGCCACCCTGGGAGACACTGAGGCTGGCAGATCTGAGAGCACTCGATTTCTTGTTTCCACTACAAATTCCACTGTCTGTAAGCCTTCAAACTTTCTAATTATTCTTTTATATGTGGTTCAGTGTTCTTGGACCATCTCCTGAACCTGGTTTGTCTGGTATTCTGTATTATTGCTGATGGAGATCCTCACTGAACTTCTCCCTGATCCACCATCAAGCCCCACCTCTGTTTCAATGCAGGTCAAATTTTTAAAAGCATTTTTAAAATGTCATAAAAAGTAAGCAAATAAATATTTTTAAATGGCTATCTCAGTAAAGAATTAATTGATTCTAAGGATTTACCATTAATTAAAAGAATCATATCTAGTTAGAAATGTGGGTCTAACAATATGATTTCCTCAAGAAATTTTGAGTCATTAAGATTAAAACGCACACTAGCACAGAATAATATCATGGGTAAGTCAAACATTTTACTAAACAGCTATGATATTAACTGAATTACTTGTAAGTCACAATAAAGGTTCAAGTTCATTATAATTTACTACTCTCATTAGAGCTAATATTATAATTGTTAGGAATATATAGTAAAAGCTGTGAATACACCAATGTACCAACTGATTATTAATAACCATGCTGGTGGTTACACATCTTAGAGCTGGTTCCAACTCATGGTGACCCTGCATAGGGTTTCCAAGGCTGTAAGTCTGTACAGGAGCTGAAAGCCTCATCTTTCTCCTGAAAGCCTCATCTTTCTCCTGCAGAACAGCTGGTAATTTTGAACTGGTGACTTTGAAGTTAGCATTCTGACTTGTAATCATTACATTACCAGAGCTCCTATGTACTTTCAGGGCATTTGAATTTTTTATTCTTATTTTTATTAGAAATTATTGATAAGAAGTTTTAGGTAATTGTATCTTCAAAATAAACTGAACACTAAAAATGAAGTGACATGTTGTAGCAGGGAATCCATGTCTGGGGTAAAGTAAGAAATGCAGTATTATAGGGATTCTGTTGAAAGCCACTATACTAGCCTTCACTCCCCTATCTTCTGCTCCTCCATTGTTACCTCATGGTCCTATCCCATCATCTTTCTTGCATACATACGTTGGCCCAAAAGATTGAATGATCCAAGTCAAGAGTTTGGTGGTTCTGACATGGAATTTTTGAGACTATTTATCCACCCTTAACAAGGAAGGCTCTGCCAAACCACTTGTGAAAATCAGGGGTACAGGAAGTGGAGTAGCTGAGAGATCCTTACAATCTGCTTCCATCCAAATGATCCAAAACAGGAAAGTTAAAAAAAAAAAATTTTTTTTTCTTGAGGACCTTAGCTGATCTCCACATAAAGTTCCACTGAGTACCCTATAACAATAAAATAACCAGATCCAAGGATTTCCATTAAAATTGATACTGTCTTTACCCCAAAGAATATACTATCATGGACTACCACAAAAGAAAAACAAATTAAAATCAAGATGAAAATCTGATAAAAAATACTTTTCACTCAGCTCTTTACCCATTGCCTCCCCAACTAAAGCATAAAGACCAAAGAAAAGGGCCAGGGAAATTAAAACTAGGAAAATAGAGAAGATAATGCAGAAGAAATAAAAGCACTGTGAGTCTTCTAACATGTGAATGATAGAAAAATCTGCAAAGACTTCAGTTTAAACAAGAAGTAATTCTCCAGGGAATGTAACTTTGTTCAAATAAGGACTCCAGTATCACTGATGTACCTCTCATGATCTTTGAATTCTGTACTAATCTGTATTATCCTCTGATTTAGTCAGAGTCCAAGGGAAATGGCAGCATCAAGAAGAGACTCCCATCCATTGTGGAAGATGAGGAAGAGGAGGAGGAGGGGGAGGAAGAAGAGACTGCCTCCCTCTCCCCCATCTACACAAGGGGACCCTTCTCTTCACGTAACAAGAAGACTGGAAGCAGTAAAAGTTATCTGGGTTTAAGCTTGAAGCAACTGGCCTCAGGAACAGTGCCATTTCACTCACCTATCAGAGTTACTAGTTCAAACTCCCCCAAAACCAAACAGGAAACTGAACCCCCTAACCATGGTAAAAGAAAAGAAAAGAACTTGAAATTGCAACTTTCAACTTCGAATAATGCTGGACCCCCAAACCTCAGTCCCAGGTAAGAGTTCACATCATGTCATTTTTCCCAGGTGATTTTCGTTGGCTGCCTTTTTTTCAGCTAAGTACTTGAGAAGTAAATAATCCAGTCTTCTAACTTTTCTACTGCTTGGTTTCCTGACTGGCCTGGATTTTTTTTTAGTTTTCCTGAGTTCTGTGTACATCTTTTAAAAAAATATATATGCAGTTGTGTGTACTGGATGGAAATAAGTAATTTTAGTATGAAAGGATGCATTAAATATCCAGAACTCCTTTTCTACTCCCTTCACCTATTTAGTCTGAACATTATTCTAAATGTAATTCCTATATTATAATTTTATAATTAATATATTTACAATGAAAAGAACAGGTGAAACAAAGTTCACCCATCAGTGTGCAATCTTACCAGTACTTTCATGACATAACAAGGTGAAATTTTGAGGAATTGAATTAATGATTTCCATTTTCCATGCTCTTTGTCTCATTATTTGAGTGATTGAAGCTTAGTTTTATTTTGGCCTCTCTAATAGATAATGCTGATAACATAAAGGTATTGTTTTATTTTTCATTTAAAAAAAAATATCCACTTCAGATTCTACTAAAGATGAATGAGAGGGTGAAAACCCCTGATTTAGAAAATGTTCGAGGGGCAAGCTATATTCCATAGAAGTAATTGTTGTTGTTAAATGCTGTTGAGTCAGTTCTAACTCATAGAAACACTGTGTAGGTTTTCCTAGGAGCAGCTAATGGGTTCAAACCACTGACCTTGAGGTTAGCAATCCAGTACTTATCCTACAATGCCACACAATAGCTTTAGTTAACATCACATAATAGCTGTATCATAAATAGAAGAATGAAGAAAAAAAAGTATACAGTGCTTTCTATGTTTTATGAATTTTGCTAGCTAATTTCACTTTCATGACTGTATTCAGTTTTCTCAGGAATTCCATAAAGTAGTTCATACTATTTCTACTGTGTAGTTATAAGAAGTGAATTTAAAGGTTAAGTATTTTTATCACAAAGATACTAAGTTATGAAAACTGTACTGAAAGCTCAGTTTGTACTTGTAAGGCAAGTAATGTACTATGTATTTAATTATTCATTTGAGTAATGGAAATAGCACACTAGAGAAAATATTAGTAATCAAAAACTAGGTTTACTGAAAAGTCGGTTCTGACTCATAGCGTCCCTGTACAGGGTTTCTGAGGCTGTAAATCCTTACAGGAGCATAAAGCCTCATCTTTCTCCCACAGAACAGCTGGTAGGTTTGAACTGCTGACCTTATGGTTCATAGCCCTATTCGTAACCACTACACTACCAAAGTAGGCATACATTAAATGTTCAGGAATTGAAAGATGGTAATTTGAACACATTGCTTATCTCTTTCCTTCTTATTACAAAATGAAAAAAATATTTTTTAAAAAATGAAAGAAAAATATGTCAGAGCTGGTAAAAGAAATGTTTGTGTATAATATGATGCCATATTTATATTAAAAAAAGAACATATTATATAAAAAATTATTTTGAGGAAACACACCAAAATGTTGACCGTAGTGGTAGATTGCAGGTGATTTTTATTTTCTGACATTGTTATTTTTACAGTAAGGAATGGGCTAAAAATTATTTGCCAAGAAAAGAAAGCTAGTTAAACTCTACATGGTAATTTAAACTTAATTCTTCAGTTCTCACATTCAGAGTTTTATCCAAGTCTGGAATGGAGGCCATCAAAGTTGTTTTCTTTGATGTTGTATTCATACCTTAAAACATTTTCCTTCTATGTTAAGTAATGAGTCAGTTCTGACTCATAGTGACATTATATAGGATTTCCAGGAAGGGATAGGTGGGTTTCATCTGCCAACCTTGTTCTTAGTAGTCCAGTGCTTATCCTACAGCACCACACCAGGTTTGGGTAGTGGTGTAGTATGAATTTAAGTAAGAAGACTTCTGTTTCTTTGGTTTTGAGTCAGAAAGTAATTAAGAGTCTGAATTCTACCACATTATTATCCAATAGAAATATGTGCCAAACTTGTAAGCTATATATATTAAAATTTTTCTGGTATTCCCTATTAAAACATTTAAAAATCAGGTAAGAGTAATATAATATTATACTTTTACTCAATTTTCTAAAATACTGACATTTTAAATGGAACCAATATAAAAGAACATTAATGGAATAATGTATATTCTTTTTACTGTTGTTGTTAGAGGCCATCAAGTCTGTACCAAGTTGGCACCATATGCACAACAGCATGAAACATTGTCTGGTCTTGTGCCAACCTCACCATGGTTGCTATGCTTAAGGCCATTGCTGCTGCCACTGTGCCAATCAATTGTTTTGGCTATCTTTCTCTTTTACACTGATCTTCCACTTTAACAAGCATGGTGCCATCTCCAGGGACTGATCCCTCCTGATAGTATGCCTGAAGTATGAGAGAGAAAGTCTAGCAATCCTGGCTTTTTAGGAATATTCTAGCTGTACTTCTTCAAATACAGATGGTTTGTTATTTTGACAGTTCATGGTACTTTAATTTCTTGAATGCAGCTTCCGTGAGTTTTGATGGTTAATCCAAGCAAAATAAACCCTTTCACAACTTCAATCTTTTCTCCATTTATCATGTATTTATTGGTCCAGTGATGAGGATTTTATTTTCTTTACATTGAGATGCAACCCATACTGAAGACTGTGGTCTTTGATCTTCATCAGTATGTATTTTAAGTTCTCTTCACTTAAAAGCAAGCAAGGTTGTATCATTTGCATAATGCAGAGGGCTAAAGAGTTGTTCCTTCAATCCTGATGCCATATTCTGTTTTATATAATCCAGTTTCTTGGATTATTTGCTCAGCATACAGATTGAATATGTATGGTGAAAGAAAAAAAGCATGGTGCATGCCTTTCCTGTTTTTAAACCATTCATTGTTCCCTTGTTCTGTTCATACAGCTGCCACTTGGCTTATGTACAGGTTCCTCATGAGTAAAATTAAGTGTTCAGGAATACTCATTCTCTGCAATGTTGTCCATAGCTTGCCAAGATCCCCAGATTGGAAAGCCTTTGTGTAGTCCCTAAAGCACAGAGCAACATCTTTCTGGTATTCTCTGCTTTCAGCCAAGATCCATCTGACATCAGCAATGATATCTCTCATTCCACATCCCCATCGGAATCTGGCCTGAACTTCTGGCAGCTTCTTGTTAATATACTGCTGCAGCCACTTTTTAGTTATCTTCAGCAAAATTTTACTTGTATATGATGTAAATGATATTGTTTGATGAGTTCTGTATTCCATTGGGTCATCTCTATTTAGAATGTGTACAAATATGAATCTTGTCTAATCAGTGACTAGATAACTGTCTTCCAAATTTCTTGACATAGCTCAGTGATTGCCTCCAGTACTGCATCAGTTTATTATAAGGTTTCAATTTGTATTCCATAAATTCCTGGAGCCTTGTTCTTTGCTAATGCCTTCAATGCACCTTGGACTTATTCCTTCAGGCTCTTGATCATTTGCTTCCTTTTTTTAATTTTTACTTTTTAAAGTTTTTATTGTGAATTGAGTTTACATGGATAGTTTACATGGGATAATATCCATTTTACATTCATCATTTTGTTGCAATAATTACAGCCTCCTCTGTGCATCATCATTCAACTGTATTTTCTTCTATTTCCTCTGTTTATTTGGGGGGAGGGTGTGCACAAAAACACTTAAGAATATATAATCATTTAACATCCAAAGGGCATATTCTGAAAGCCTGCCAGCACACAGCTTTTCTCTTTCCATGAGTCTAGAGTCCTCGGCTGCTGTATTTCTCCATGTTCTCATCTCTGCCTCCATCTCTGGTGTTGCTGCGTCTCTGGATAGGGTCCCACATTCTGCTCATGTTTTTCTCCCATGATGGCCCTAGGAGCTTTTGTTTCTGAACTGTAAGTCTAACTACTCCCCCTTTTTGTTACAAAACTTTGCAATCCATATGCAAACTCTTGAAATGGTTCAACATCTGCCATTTCTTTTTGATACAGTGACTTTGTGTATTCCTTCCATCTTCTTTGGATGCTTTCTGCATCATTCAGTGTATTGCCCAGAGAATCCTTCAATATTGCAATCCGAGGCTTGCATTTTTTTTCTTCAGTTCCGTCTGCTTGAGAAATACTGAGTATGTTTTTCCCTTTCGGTTTTCTAACTCCAGGTCTTTGCACACTTCATTGTAATATTTAACTTTGTCTTTTCAAGCTGTCCTTTGAAATTTTCTGTTCAGCTCTTTTACCTCCTCATTTCTTTCATTTCCTTAGCATCTATACACTGGAGAACAAATTAGAGTTCTCTGACATGCATTATGGTCTTTTGATTCTTTCTTGTTTTCTTTAATAACCTTTTGCTTCTAACCTGTATGATGTTCTTGTCATCCCAGAACTCATCTGGTCTTTGGTCACTAGTGTCTACTTCATCAAATCTGTTCTAGAGATAATCTCTAAATTTAGGTGGGATATGTTTTAATGGACTTGCTTAAATTTTCTTCAGCTCCATCCTGATCTTGTTTATGAGCAACTGATGGTCTGCTCAACAGTCTGCCCCAGTCTTGTTTTAACTGATGATGTGGAGCTTTTCTACCGTCTCTCTCCAAAGATGCAGTCAATTTCATTTCTGTGTATCCAGGCTTGTCTTTTATGTTGTTTAAAATGTTCTTTGAAATGAAGAATTCATTGGTCTTGCATAACTCTACCATTCAATCTCCAGCATAATTTCTGCCACAAAAAAAAACATATTTTCTAACTACTGATCCTTTGTCTTTGTTCCCAGTGTTTGCATTCAAATTGATATTAATTATCATGACATTTTATTGTATGTTTGATCATTTTCAGACTCAAGAAGTTGGTAGAATTCTTCAGTTTGATCATCACTGCTTTTAGTAGTTGGTGTTTAATTGTATTAACTGATTTTCCTTGTAGGAATATGGATATTTTCCTATTACAGATAGGGTTTTGTACTTCAGGATAGATTTTGAAATGTTCTTTTTGATGACGAACATGATGCCAATCCATTTGTCATTCCCAGTATAATAAACAATGTGGTTATCAGATTCAAAATGACCAATAGTTTAGCTAACACCTAGCATATTTATGTTTATGAGTTTCATTTCACACTTCTTATTTTTCAAGTTCCAATTATCAATGGATTTTGCTGTTGTTTTTTCCTGATTTTGAATTGTGCCCCATCAGCAAATGAAGGTCCCAAAAGCTTAATCTATTTACATAATCACAATCAACAATTTGAGGAGGCATTTCCTCCCCAGCTGTATTTTGAGTGTCTTCCAACCTGAGGGACTCATTTTCTGGTACTATATCTGTACACAGGACTATTATGGAGTCCTGGTGTGGCACTGTAGGATAAGCACTGGATTGAAAGATCAGTTTGGACCACACTACTGATGGTTCAAACTCACCAGTCATTCCTTGGAAACCCTCTTCAGGATTGCTGTGAGTTGGAACCGACTCAACGGCACTTAACAACAATATCTAACAATATTCTCGTGCTCCTCATTATGTTTCAATATTCAGTATTCTGGTGCTGACAGCATTCCACTGCTATTCATAAGGTTTTCTTTGACTAAATATTCAGCAGTGAGTAGTCTGTCTCTCCTTCTTCCTACTCTGTCTTAGTCTGAAAGCTCAGCTGAAATCTGTCTACCATGAGTGACCCTGCTGTTACTTACAATACCTGTAGCATAGCTTCCAGAATCCTAGCAACATGCAAGCTACGATAGTAGTACAAACTGACATGAGTGGTGGTCTTCTTTAATATTGCTTTGCTTCTCTGTGGTCTCTTTCCTTTTCATATAAAGTTGGTGATTAGGTTTTCTATCTCTTTAAATATTGATGTTGAAATCTGGATCCAGATTACACTCTATCTATAGATCGTTAATCTCATGAATTTAAATGAACAACCCAACATTTTTCTTTGTTTCAACAGAATTGTTGATGGAATTGAAGATGGAAACAGCAGTGAAGAAAGCCAGACATTTGACTTTGTCTCTGAACGAATCAGGCCAGAGCCCAGAATTTCCCCTCCTCTAGGAGGTGAGCTCTATATTTAGTCTTCTTTTCTTTTCAGCTACTAATGTTTGACATTGGCATTGTTTTGTCCTCCCATTCTCAACATATTCTCTATGAGATACAACTCTTCCAATGAAATGAAATAATTTGACTTGAGTCTGTCCTTTCTCCAAGTTGTTAAGATAGAATTTATTATTGTTCCTCTGTATAAGCTAGATGTCCTGCTATTTAGCAGCCAAGGTAAATGGTATACCAGGAGATTAAAATTCCTGCCATACATCAGAGAGTAACCATGTTTTCCTATTATAAACACAGACTAATCTTCAAACACAACATCGCCCAGAGGAAATGCTGTATTGGTTAAGCACTAAAGGAACTTAAGCAGTTTATTTGTTAATAAGTCATTTACTTTCAATTAGTAAGAAGATAAACAACTTTAGAAGGATGTGAGCAGGTTAAAAATGATTGAGAACTATATGAAGGACCATCTATTAAACAGTCAGTGAGTATAATGTTACCCTCAAAATAAGACCCAGGCCCTCTCTCTCCCTTTCAGTCTTGAGGTCAATACGCATGAAATAAAATATTATCAATATGATGAAGGCTAGATATAGCCAAAAAAAGATACATCTGATGAAGAAGTCAGAATAATAAAGTATTAAATAAGTAATCCAAAACAATTACCAGCCAGCTACCACATGCAAAGTCACCCACCTGAGATCCTTTTGTCAGAATATCCAGTGAGTTACTCTATAGACAAAGCGAAGCCCAACAAGGACTTCTAAATGTACAGTTTTGTGTGTGGGTCTCTGGTAATACCAGTATTCCATCTCAATCAGCAATTTACTCAGTGCACACCATTTTCTGGGGAATTAGAGGATCTCATTAGTCCCTTGAATCTAACAATCCACATTGTTGTTATGTACTGTCAAGTTTGTTCTGAATCATAGCAACCCAGTGCACAACAGAATTAAACAGTGCCTGGTCCTGCACCATCCTCACAACTACAGCTATACTTGAGCCCATTGCTACTGCCACTGTGTCAGTCAAACTCATTTGGAGACTTCTGTATTTTTCTCTGATCCTCCACTTTACCAAGCATGTCTTTCTTAAGGGATGGGTTCCTCCAAAGTATGACAGACAAAAATCTCACAATCCTGGCTTCTAAGGAGAATTCTGTCTGTACTTGTACTCTGGAAGTCCATGGTACTTTCAATATTCTTCTCCATTTGACATATTCCATCAGTCAAATAAATGAATTCTTCTATGGCCTTCCTTATTTATTGTTCAACTTTCATATATATATGAAAGTTGAATAAAAAA